AGAGTTAGTTCCAGGACAGCCTCCAAAGCCACAGAGAAACCCTGCCTCAGATCCCCCCCCCAAAAAAAAGTATTCATTTCTTATTGACATGTAAAACAAGCTTGTTTCTAATTTAAATTTTTTAAAAAATTCTCAAATTATCTTGCAGAAGATACATTGTTTTGCATTTTTTTATTACTTCTCTTATATATATATATCCCAACTGTAGTTGTTCCTCCCTCATCTCCTCCCAGTCAATTCTCTCCCCTACCCCCTCCATTTTGTACTTTTTACCAGAATGTAGAGGAGTATTATCTTTATATTACAAACTTGATAAGCAAAGATTAATTTTATTTTTAAGGGTGATCAAATTTTCATGTGAACTTAATGTTCCCAATATTTCATGATTTCATTTTTTTAAATGATTTATTTTTATTATTTTAAAATTGGGTCTGTCTGTATGTGCATGAGTTCATGCATGGAATATATGCAGGTGCCTGTGGATTCCAGAAGGAAGCATCGGTACTTGTTGTGGGTGATGGGTCATGAACTCTGGTGCCCTAAGAGACCAACCTGCACCTTTAACCAATAAACCCTCTCTACAGCTCCCAATGTCATATTTGTTACAAAAGTATTTCCTTTCTCTGTGTCTGTACAGTGCACTATACTTACTAACTGGAAATGTCTTAAGCATGTTGAATTCTACCTACTTCTCTGGTCTCATGCCAACTTTCCCTCACCAGTCCTTTCCCACCGGTTTTGGTTTCTTTTTTAGAAATTTTAAAGACTTCCCCGTTCCCTCAGTTGCTAAATCAGTTACAAAGGACATATTTTTTAAATATATATATATATATATATATATATATATATATATTATATATATATATATGCATCCACACATATATTGCCTTCCTAGTGATAATAGAAGGCTTTCAGAAATAGAACTGGTCACTGTCCCTGGCACACAATGAGGGTCCAAAAAGATTACAATTTCATCATTACATTTGTTTTACAGAAAACCACACCCATCCGCTCACAAGCTGACCTGAAGAAATTGCCCTTAGAAGTGACTACCAGACCTTCCACTGAAGTAAAGCCCAGGGACATAAGGGAGGCGGGGCTCTTCTGGTGTCTTAAGCAAGGATCAATGTTCCCACTGTCTGTGGGTTTTTTTAGGAACCTGTGAGGAGACCTCAGCGTCCTCGGTCACCTCCTTTACCTGCAGTGATCAAGAATGCTCCTAGCAGACCCCCTTCTATTCAAACTCCCAGACCAACTAGCCAACTCCGAAAGGCTTCGGTTATCAGCAGCTCCCCAAAGCTGCCTGCTCCAGCAGCCAGAGGAGAAATGAGTACTTCTAGACTGCTCCAGCCAGCTGAGGCACCCCGAAAGCCTGCAAACCCTCCCATCAAGACTACACCCCGACCTACCCCTCCTGTGCAGCCTTCGCCACCCTCTCTACTCCCCAACTCCAAGAACCTTCGGGAGGTCCCTGCTCAAAAAGCCATCAAGTCTCCAGTGGTCAAGAAGCCAGAGCCACCTGTTAAACATTCTATGGTGAGATGCATTGCTTCCTTCATGTTCCAGCTCATTGTTAGTATTGTAGGAAAGAGTGTTACACTAGGAAAATCTAGGGTCACTGAATAAAGCTTTTCTGATACCTTCAAAGAGGAGGAGCCTATATAACAAGAGACTTGCTCAGAAACACAGTGAGTTTTTTACCCAGCTGACCCAACCTTGGTCTGCTGTAAACTTGAGTCAGCTCCACTGGTTTCTTATGGTATGGGCATAGTTTGTAACTTGGTGACATGGCTTTGGTAAATTCTGGCGGGGGTCATTGTATGTCAAGGTCTCAGCTGACTAAACTAAGCAGGTTAAACTGAGAGAGGCTTCTCTTGTGACAGTTATTGTCAGAAGTCCACATAGTGTAAGGACCAGGAGGTTGCTTATGTATATACTGAGTAATTCAAAGTAGGAATTGACATAAACTCCTTAAAATAGTTCCTTTAGACCACGCAAAATCTTCCTGCATTTTGGAGGCTGAACAGGGTCTCTTTATGCTTCTACCCTTCTGCTCTAGGCAACCTCAGGTCGGAAGCGGAGTCTTGCAGTCTCTGATGAGGAAGAGGCTGAAGAAGAAGCTGAGAAGAGGAAAGAGAGATGCAAACGGGGCAAGTTTGCAGTGAAGGAGGAAAAGAAGGAAGCAAGTGAGGTGGGTGGTCACATGAGGTTCACAGGGATTGCCTCCCTGTGTTCATGACTTGAGGCTTTGAGCCTAGTTGACCTCTCAAGGACTCTTATTACCTAGACAATTAGAAACATGAGGCCAGGTAGGATCTTGAGATTTGTTCTAATTACAGGCCAGTATATACTGGTGTACATCTTGGGGCCTGGAATCACTTGAAATGTGTCTCTTTCCTGCTGTTCTGTACATAAAGGTAGCAGAAGGGTAAATACCAGGAACAGCATAAGAAGACATGTTACAGCTGATGATCATGAGTGGCCAGTAACACAAAAGACTACTTTTTAGAGGCCTTTGAAGAAACTTCTAATAGACTGTTCTCCTTACAGCTCTCAGACAGTGCTGGGGAAGATGACCCAGCTGAATTCAAGAAGGCTCAGAAAGGCAAGTTTGGGGAGGTCCCTGTTGGCCATTGGTGGAAATGGAAATAGAGCCTTCACTGTCAGCAGCTTCCTCCTTAAGTTAGCAGTTTCCTGGGCTTGGTCTCTATCTGTAGTTGGTTCAGCTATCCCTTCATGACATTTTGCTTCATTTGTGATGCTTGAGATTTTTGAGTAGACATTCATTAGATAGTTTAGTTTGGCCTTGAACTTTTAATCCTCTGGCTCAGTCTCCCATTGCTGGGATTAAAGGCATGTGCCATAATGCTTGGCTTGAGGGGTTTTTTTTTTGGGGGGGGGGAGCTGTTTTGTTTGCATGTTTTGTTTTGACACTAATCCTTTGTTTGCCCTTGGTAAGTCACTCATCCTTTGTCTTGGATCTATGGCAGATGAAGAATCCCCATTGTTAAACTTCAGGGTACATACTTAGGGACCTCCCACCTGGGGACTACAAATACAGAACTGGCTGAGTTGGCAACATTGATATAGTACTCTGATTCTCACTTGTGTTTGAATTCTCAGATAAAGGATTGCATGTAGAGGTACGTGTGAACCGGGAGTGGTACACAGGTCGTGTCACAGCTGTAGAGATGGGCAAGAATGTGGTTCGGTGGAAAGTGAAGTTTGACTACGTGCCCACAGACACAACACCAAGAGACCGCTGGTAATGCCCTCTTCTGGGAGATCAAAATACCAGAAGTCAACTAGGGTAAAGGGAGGAGGTACCCTCATGTCCTTAGCAGCCTATTTGCTTAGGACAGACATGATAAGCACTTTGTCCCCCATAGGGTGGAGAAAGGCAGTGAAGATGTACGACTGATGAAGCCACCTTCTCCAGAGCATCAGAGTCCTGACACGCAGCAAGAAGGTGGAGAGGAGGAAGAGGAGGAGGAGGAGGCTGTGGTGGCCCAGCAGGCTGTGGCCTTGCCAGAGCCCTCTACTTCTGATGGTCTCCCCATTGAGCCTGACACCACTGCCCCAAGTACCAACCATGAGACTATTGACCTCCTGGTCCAGATTCTTCGGTTTGTGTTTCTTTAGCCTTTTCCTTAGGTCTGGCAATAGTTATTCACTTTTCCCATGCTATTCTGAGTTCCTATCCTTCCTTTTTTTGCTACTTAGGAACTGCTTGCGATATTTCTTGCCTCCGAGTTTCCCCATCTCCAAGAAGGAGCTGAGTGCTATGAATTCAGAAGAACTAATATCTTTTCCTCTGGTGAGTCTGGCCTGACTTGGTTTGTACACCCAGTTGCTCACTCATGCTTATTACCATCTCAATATACCTAGAATTTGAGACTTAGAGAGAGGAAGAGGGAAGCTGGTGGTGTCTTGAGATGAGCATGAGGACTCATGGTAGCCCAGTGGATTCTGCTGTCTTTCTGCTTCTGACATCTTAAGATTTGCTAGAGGTGGAGTTGCTGCTAGTAGGTAGCTGGCCATAAGCCTGAGAGAAATGAACATTGTGGCAGTGGCCAGAGAGCCTTGGCAACTTGGTAGAGAGGGAAAAACACCAAAAAAAAAAAAACAAAAACAAAAACCTAACCAAAAAACAATTAGGACTTTAATAAGTGCCTGCTTTTGTAAGTGCAGGGAACTGCTTTTGTAAGTGCAAGGAACTGTCTGAAGAGGAGGCAGTAGGCTTTTGTGAGCAGCCACATTTTGTGTAGGAAATGGTTGGAGCTGAAGGAATTGTTGATCTGAACCATGCAAATAATAATGGGTTTGTAGGCTATCTAGTGTCTGATAACTACTCAGTTCTTCAATTATAGCATGAAAGTATCCAGAGGCAGTCCATCAAGGAATAAAGCTTTATTTACAGAAACGTACAAGTTGATTTTTGTCTGCTGCCCTGCCTTTTATGAGGGCATCTTTAATAGCATGAGTCCTGTCACATTCTTATCTCACAGTAAGCCCAGCCCAGGTTTTGGCTTTTGCCCTTGTTTAGACTGGACTCTCCAGAGGTCCTCAGAGAACAAACATCTTTGACTTGTTACTTTTGGCATCAATTTGTAAAATTCAAAGCAAAAGCCAGAGTACAGAAGGACCTCAGCAGGTACTGCCACTCAGCCCAGAACAGAATCAGTGTGTCTGTCCCAGTCTAAAAATAACACCTAGCTTGTTTTTGTAAAAGTAGTTACTGGTGCTAGTACACAACTTTGATCTTCTGATTGCAGTTTCTAAAACCAAACTTTCAGTTTTGTTCATTTTTGTTCTTGTGTGTAAATGGTGTTCTCTAGTACTTTGACAATTAAGATATTTGCATTTGACTTAAAATTTATTTTGTGCAGTCAAGATATTTTTTATGTAGAATGTGAAGTTTCTCTTGCCATTCTGGTGTGAGATCATAGTGTAGATTGTAAGCAAAACAGCTGTTAGAAGCCCCTCCTTGCAGCAACTCAAGCTTCATGGAAGCAAGTAAGTGCTAGAGTTGTTCAGACTGCATTAGACAGCCAGGACCTGTTGTGGTTTTGCCCATGGAAATAACTTCCTCTTTCTCAGTGGCTGTTTCTGAGCACATCATACTGGGATACAACCTAAAATTGTTTTTAACTACTTCATAATAAAAGGCTCTGTTGCTGTACGACTATTTACTATACAAATCTGGGGATAATTGCTGTTGGTAGATGCTTGGTAGATCTTTGATCCTAACACTGTGTTGGATATAGAAATCCTATTCTAGAGTTAGAAAGGTGTGATTGAGCTAGGAGAATGATCCCACCTTCCAGGTTACTAAGCACTTGGCTGAGTGCATTGTGTCCTGTCCTCATCCTTGTGGTATCCCCAAAGGACTACCACTAAGATCTCGTTACCCTGGTTTTAGAAGTTTACAAGTACCCTTCTTGGCCCCTATCATATTTCCTTCTACAGAAAGAGTACTTCAAGCAGTATGAGGTGGGGCTCCAGAACCTGTGCCATTCCTACCAAAGCCGTGCTGACTCACGGGCAAAAGCCTCAGAAGAGAGCTTGCGCACTTCTGAGAAAAAGCTTCGTGAGACAGAAGAGAAGTTACAGAAATTGAGGACCAACATTGTAGCACTCCTGCAGAAAGTACAGGAGGTGAGCCAGCAGCCCTCTCATTGAAGCTAGGGAGGGGGCTGAACTTCTCACAGGACTCTATCCACTCACAGGAGTCTGTTTCCAGCCCTGGCTGCTCAGGGTCCTGAAAGGAGGGCTGAAGTGATAGAGCTGCCTGGGCCTCGCCCCAGCCAGACCACACAGACCACACGGTTTGCTTTGAAAACCCTTTAAACCATAATCAAAATGCTTGCTTATCTAATTGGTGTCTCTGGTGGAACTGAGTATTGGAGAAGTGGTGGGATATTGCCCTTTAGGGGTCTGGAATGTCCTTCTACACAGTAGAGACTGGGAGACTGATCTCTGCGGACAGGCTGGTGGAGAAGCTAGAGCTACAAATGGGGTGGTACCATGAAGACTTGGGGAAGCCTCTTGACTAGGATGCTCAGGGTGGACTCTGACAAGATACTTGCACTGAGACTGATAGTAGGAGAGGCAGGACCTCTAAGTATATGGTTTGAACCCAGAGCAGAAAGTCATTGGAGGGGTGTGGCATAGTCCAATTTTCAATATAAGACACTAGTTAGTTGGAGGGATGCCGGTTAGAACCAGAGAACCTGATAAGAAAGTTCCCATTCTTTTCTGGACCTATACAATGAGTGATGACAGAGGATAACAGATTTAGAAGTGGGGCAGGAGTGGGGCAGGAACAAGTAGCAGACAGCGGGGCAAGAGATAGCAGAGTGGAATTCCTGCCCAGTCCCACCCCCTAACCTGTTTTCTTGTCTCAGCTGACCCCCACCCCACTCTGTTCTAGGACATAGACATCAACACAGATGACGAGCTGGATGCCTACATTGAGGACCTCATCACCAAAGGGGACTGAGGAGCTTGGAGGCAGATAACTCCTCTGCACACCTGCCTCTCAGCACAGCAGCTTCTGGGGAGGGGGATTTCATTAGTGAGTTGGTGGACTTAATCTTGGTTTGACTCATGTGGGACATTTGTGCTTTGGGAAGAAGATTCTTTGAATCTTCCTCCCCAAGTTTACATAAATATTTATTTTTTAAAAGAGAAGATGTTAATGCCTGCTGTGAGACCATTCTTTTGTGTGACTCTTAAGGAAAGGGCACAGAGTCTGAGCCATTGAGCTCCTGGCACCTCAGGATAGTATGAAGCAAGCACCATCCTGAGTTGGAGAGGCTCCAGGGGCAGGGTGATTTTTCTCCTAGAGGATCAACAATGGGACATGAAAAATACATGACCCCAGGGACTGAGATCTACAAGACCCATAAGGGGGTCATCAAAAGCAGGCCCAGTACCAAGAAAGACTCTCCTTGTAACAGTTGATCTCCTTGTGTCCAGTCAGGGCTGTGAAGGTCTGTAGGCTCCTGTGCAGCTGTCAGAGTCATCCTGGCCGTGGCCATACCCAGACAGTGTTGAGATGATTCTTGATGCTCAGATTTCCCAGCATACCACCTACTCTATTGATGAAGGAGCCATTGCCCGAGTCAGCCACACTGTCCAAGCTCAAGTGTAGACAGCTCTGACTGGTCAGATTGCTGGACTGGATAGCACTCTGAATGTTGAACTCCTAAGATTCTCAGGGTGTGCAGGTGTAAAAGATCTCTCTGGAAGAGGAGGCTTCCTCAGTGGTGCTAGTTCCTAGAGAGCCTTTGCTGCTGCTTTTCTACTGCGTCCTCTGTGGGTTCCAGAGAGACCAGCACCTCCTATGCTCTGGAACAGTGAGGAGGAGGAACCATGTGCTTCAGACAACTACTCAGAGCCAGAAGGGCAAGAGCTTCATTTGATGGCCATTGGGAGAATTCTGGTTCCAGTCCTGCCAATTCTTCACTCCTGTTGAAGACCACTGAAGATACAGCTGTGACTTTGTATTCTTGATCCAAACCACATTGGGATTTGTTTCCTCCATCTACCCAAGTCCCATGGTGTTTGCAGAAGATGGGGAAGTGGTGGTGAGGGAACTGTGCACATGTGGCTAGAAGTGCCTGCTTGGGTTCTAGGCTACCCCAGACTATCTCATCAGGCAATCCCTGATGCAGGGTTGTTTGTGGGGGAGTATCATTCAGAAGTAGTCCTCTTCTCTGGAACATTCTCCAATAAATGGGTTTCCTGAGTTGGTGCACATAACCTCCCAATCCAACTTTCTGTTGACCCTATCCAGGCAGTGTGTGGTCCATTTTTGTCTGTAAACCCACTGTTTAAAAGAAAATTGGTCCTGCATTTTTATTGGCAGGTAATTTTTTTTTTAAGCCTACACACGTAATCAAAATGTGTTACCATAAATTTCTACTGGTGAAATTCTTGACTCCTGAGTTCAATACATTCTTATGTGAAATACAAGGCCTTTCTCTTCATTCTGTTGCATCTTTTTTTTTTTTTTTTTTTTTTAGTTTCACTTTCTTGATATCTACAGACACACAACAATTTCATTTCTTAGATGTTTTAGCTTTAACTTTCTGGATGTACTAAATCCAACCTCAGCTTTTCTGAATGCTGCCTATTCCTCAGGCAGAGGTCCTACTGTTCTGATGGCAAGATAAAAATAGGGTCTTTCCTGGGAACATCATGAAATAACTGACCTTGGAACTGGTTGATAAGGCATCCACTGGCTCTAAAGGAGAGGGGTGGGGTTGAAGATGCTAAGTGACAAGTGGACATGGTAAGAATCCAAATACTAGAAAAGGCTGAACATAAAAAGCAAGGTTTTCCTCTACCTGATCCCCAAGTTCTCCCTGAAGATCGGAATAGTCATCCTGGACACTCAGTAACACATCTGCCCTTAGTTTCCTTAATTTTTTTGTTTTGGGTTTTTTTTTTTTTGCCCGCCAAGTACATCATACATTGTTTCCGAATGAGTTTAGTATGACTAGTATGAGTTTACTTTGTTATGAACCATCACAGAACATTTCATTATCTTGAGTATACTGTCATGTAACAATGTGTAAACACTTTTTTTTTCTCTCCTTTTTTGGAGACAGGGTTTTTCTGTGAATAGCCCTGGCTGTCCTGGAACTGCTCTTTGAGACCAGGCTGGCCTTGAACTCACAGAGATCCGCCTGCCTCTGCCTCCCAAGTACTGGGATTAAAGGTGTGTGTCACCACTGCCCGGTTAACACTCATATTTCTAACATTTGTGAAGAAAGCTGTGGTATATGTGTGCCTTTATCCATTATATTCATATAGAGGGTGAGTCCCAGAAAGGACTATCAGATACATTCATTCCCATCTGCTTCCAGCAACTTCTGTTTTCAACTCATTAATTTGTGGGTGTCTCCACAAGTGGTTTTGTTTTAATGTGACTGAGCACTTGGTTGACTTGCCCAGGCTTTTTGGTGTAGAGGTATATATAGTTCTGAATCTAGGAGTAGGGATCTTTTTGTAAATCATGAGTTTGCAAAATCCTCAGGAAAATGTCTTAGTAGGATTTAGGATTTCCAACCCCATTTGAGAGTAAAATGCTGTCTACAACCAGGTCAAGACAAAGACATAACACTTGTTTTCTAAGAATTAGTACAAGCTGAGGAAACTTCTGGTTTCTTCTTTTCATTTGTCTGAGACACTGCTTTTTATCTTATAGGCTCATGTTCCCCATGTTAGCAGCATCTGGCTGATAGTTGGCACCTTTAGGGATGAGTAGTAAGTTAAGCTTGATAAGACTCCAAACTTGCCATTTGCACAGAATTCAAATTTGGCCTGAGTGCTTTGTGCCTCCACTGGCTACTTGACCCCTATTTGGAAGATCATCCAACAGGGTTGGGTGAGCCTGAAACATCCTGAGAATTCTACTGCAAGGTTCTGGACTTCACTGGAGATGGAACCTAGAAGGCTTCATGTTTTAACAGTCACACTGCACTGGCTTCTCAGAGCAGCTGCAGGGCCACTTTGATGACCCAGAAAGCAGGACTCCCAACAGGTTCTGCCTTCAGACTGCCAGTTCCCCTGCACTATTCCAGGGACCCTCTCTACAAAGATGAGTAGTGAGGCAGAGTGTTGCCGTTTTCAGTAACCTGTCAGGTGCCAGGGCCACTGCTGGCTTCAGCAGAAACTTCCTTGCAAGGTAAACAGGTCACTCTACTCTGGCTCCTTATTCCCTCTGCATGGCAGATCTTTCCGTTTAATTAGCCACAAGGACAGGTTCCCACTTGAAATTTAGCCAGTGCTTCTAAAAAGTCTGGAGCTGTAGGTTGAAGCTGGAATAAGGACCTGTAACCTCTTGCTGTTTGGATTCTCCATTTTTGCTTGTAGGATTCTCTACACTCTACCAGCTCTACTGTAGGCCTTTAGCAGTTTACAGAGTGGCCCACATTAGGGGCATGCTTTTCCCAGGACTGCCATCATGGCCATCTATTTAGTTAGCTTCATCTGTCCCAAAGGGAGGGCTGGGCTTCCATGCAGCTTCTGCAAGACATGTGCCATTTCCTAGGGTGCTCATCCTCAGCAGTTGTCGGCTAGTACCTGGAAGGTGGGGGTTGTCTACGCTTGAGAGGGCAAGAGTCATGAAGATTCATGTCCTCTGGACCTTCCTGGGATACTTGGAGGATTCTCAGGGTTCTCTGCAGTCCCCTTTACTTTTACAACTGTAGCCAGCTCTACTCTGCTACTGTGACTTACTGTTCTTCCTGCCCCTCTTAAGGTCTAGATTTTCAGTGCCCCTCCCAGATGCCTCACCAGTAGTTTGGGCACTACACTTGGCCTTGGGGTTATTCAGTGGGCACTGGAGAAGAGCCCACTGAAGCTTTTTTTAGTTCTCTGTGATCAACCATCAACTATCCTAGCACCTCACTTGCCCAAGAGTTGATTAGAAATGTTCACCTAGCCCAGCACTGGAGTAGCTAACCATCTCTATGGAGGTGACTAACATTGGCTTCCTTCCAAATGGCCAATGGAGGCATTCCTTGGAGTGTAACAGCCCCAGCCCAGACAGCACCTACACAAAGTTACACAGATGACCTCACACAGGAAGGTTGGCCTAAAGGACTCATCAAACCCTGTCGTTATCTTACAGATGAACAAGGGTCAAAGATTTTCTTTTATGTGCATGAATGTGTTTGAGTGTTTTGTCTGCACGCCACATAAATGTGTGGTGCCTTCGGAAGGCAGAAGAGAGCATTGAAACTGGGACTGCAGGCATCTGTGAACCTTCTGTAGGTGCTGGAAACAAAAGCCTGAGTCCTATCCAAGGACAGCAATAGCTCTTAACTGTGGCGCCATGATTCCAGCTTCCTGTTCTTTCAGCTTTTTGTGGAGGATCACTACAGGTAACCCTGAACAGACACCCTTCTATCCAGAAGCCCTTGTTTCTGCAAGGTGGTGGACGTGGGAAGGGCCACGTTCCATTTGCTTTAAAGGGCCAGCCAGTGCACAGGCTTATCAGCCATTCTGTATGGTCAAGTTCCTGAGATCTCTTGGCTCCATTTGTGTGTCTCTTGAAAGGTAAACTTTTTGTTTGAGTTTTTTGTTTGTTTTGTTTTGAGAAGGGGTCTTTCTTTGTAGCTACAGCTGTTCTAGAACTCCCTGTGTTGACCAGGATGGCCTCAAACTAACAGATCCTCATGCCTGTGCTCAGGACTCAGGAGTACTGGGAATAAAAGCAGGTGCTGCCACAACCAACTAAAACTAAACATTTTTAGGTCTGGGGGTTTCCTGTCCTGCTGAGGAAAATTGCTTTCTCCCCAAACCTTCATTTTGTTGCAGTGATTATCTTTATTTTAATCAGTTTCCATGGAATGTTTTAGTATAAACAGTAAAGTCAAGAGTCAAGCTTTTTCCCTAGGAGGAAATAGACTTAGGTTATAATTATGTTTTAAAAAATAATTGCATTAAATTTAAATATGTTTTGAGAAGTGTTGACATAATAGTAAGCTCCCAGGAGGATACAAAATGGTTTTCCATTTGTTATGAATTTTTAGGGGTCTGGAGAAATGGCTCATTGGTTAAGAGCATTTCTTCCTCTTCTAGAGATTCCCAGCACCCATGTCAAGTGACTGACACCTGCCTGTCTGTAACTAGCTCCAGGGGATCTCTTCTGGCCTCTGGACCATGCACACACATCTTTAAAAATCTAGTAGTATGTTTTAGATTATCCAGTAGAGTTTTATAATTTCCTTGTAGGGGTTCTATAATTTTCTGACAAAATAAGCCTTAATAATTTCTTCACCCAGCTTTAATAGGTTTCTGACTAAGTTTATTTCCTATTTATGGCCTTGTCACTACTCCAATAGAATACCTTTCCCCATCTCTAGTATGTACTGGCTAGTAACATGAAGAAAGCCAGTAGTCTGTGAGTATGTGGAGTATATTCATAAAATATAAACAAATTCCATGAATTGATAGTTGTAAAAGCTTGTTTTTTGTTTTTGTTTTTTTTCTGGGGGCGCAGGAGAGGTTCAAGACAGGGTTTCTCTGTGTAGCTTTGGAGCCTGTCCTGGAACTGGGTCTGTAGACCAGGCTGCCATGAACTCACAGAGAGCGACCTGCCTCTGCCTCCAGAGTGCTGGTATTAAAGGCATGCGCCACCACCGCCTGGCTAAAAGCTTGTTTTTAAGGTGCTTGCTTAGGCACTCTACCACCAAACTACATCCCCAACTATCAGCAACCCCCTTTTTAAAACTTTTGTTTGAAAATAAGCTACCAAGATGTCCTTTAATTCATTTGAATTTGTGATCCTTCTACTTCTACCTCGTCAGGAGCTAAGATTATAGGCTTGGGACACTAGGAGTGGCTCTTTTTGCTTGTCTCCCTATAATGTTAATGAGTATATATTAATTACACATAATAAAATGGGTTTCATTATAACATCTTCATATATGATATGTTTTTATATTTACCCTATCACCCTCTCTTGTTCCAATTCATGCTTGCTAATCCTTTCCTCTTCTCAACTAGCCTTATTCCTGCATTTGTGGGCTTGTGCATGTGTGTGTCCGATGAGGTTCATTAGGGTTGTTTAGTAAAGGAGCTACACCACTGAAGAAAATGTCTTTCTTCCCACCTGCCATTAACTTCCTATAAGTCTTCAGGGAACAGTGGACACCCATAAGCTATTCTTCCCTTTCCAGGAGAGGAGACTGACAACCCCAGTCTTGTGGAGATCATGTGTAGGTCCTCATAGCTATTGTGAGTTCAAGCAAAACAGCCATGTAATGCCCAGAGATAAGTGTCTCACACTTCTCACCCCACCTTCTGGCTCTCAATTTCTTTCAGATGTCCCATTTATGACTGGGCATTCAGGAGATGCTTATTCTCAGTTCTTTGACTCAGTCTTGGCATCAGGGATCCATTATTGATGACCATTACAAAAAGAATCTCTGACTATAGCTGATTACTTTAAAGGCAACTGG